TATTCTTTCGATACTCGAAATGTTTGTAGGTAGGAGCGATAGAAAGGTAGAAGAATAAACAGAGATACGCACGTAGGTATGCGACAAATACAAAATATTCTAGAGTATTTTTCTCATAAATATCCAAAGACATGTTCTTTAATTATAATGTTTAGGCATTTAGGGAATTTATATAAATTTTTCAATAAAATAGAAAAGATTTTCAATAGAAGAAACTCGTTTACGAGGCTTTTTTACGAGGCTTGTTTACGAGACACTCTACGAGGCCTAATTAAAAATACCCTACGGACTTATCGGAAATACCCTACGGATTTATCGGAAATACCCTACGAACTTAACGGAAATACCCTACGGATTTATCAACGAACAAAAAGTTAAAAATATAATTCTTTTCAGTTACATTTTATTGAAATAAAAATTAAATGAGGAACTAAATGAACAGTAACTTATTTAATTTCGCTAAAAGAAACAATTAATACAAATCCCTATAAAAGAAGATAAGTTCAGTCTTTAGACTAGAATTTTCTATAAGCATATGAGCTAAACAATGACTATATATTTGAGTTGCTCCCAAAAAAAAGTACAATAAAAAAGGAAGCACGCATAACCTATTTAAGACTTTAAAACTAAACTTAATATAATACATAGGGAAAAATAAGGGAATAAGTAGAAGAGGGATAGGAGTAATATGGAGAATCGGAAGGACTATTTACAGGAAAAAAAGAAAAGAAAAGTAGATTGCCACATTACAATAAATTAAAAAATGAAAGTGTATCCTATACAAAACAAACTAAAGTGTTAATTCACAATTGATAAGCATTCTTTTGCAATGTTTGTTTATTCACCCTAACGCGTCGATAGATAAATGTCTACATTTAAAAAAAATATAACACTGATATAAAAAAAAGGCAATTTTCAAAAGCTTTTTTCTCAAAATTGGTCAGGCCAATGGACAAAAATATTTGACCACGATATACTACTGATATACAAAACTTCATTAAAATCCGTTGGTGTTCCATTGTAAAGTCTCCTTGTTAAGTTTTAATGAGGTTTTAGAAWGTCATGTTGTGCATCTCTGCCTAAACAAATGCATGACGTACTAATACGTCAAATRACGGAGATAGAAACACAGGAGAACGAACGCATTGTTGAAAAGTGTCACCAAAATATAGAACCAATAACGTTTTATTCCAGGTTGCGCTGTAGTTGCTAAGATTACATGTATGTATTGTTTTGTTTTACAATTACGCAATCACGGAGGCAATGCTCTACGGTTTTCAGTGACGTCACTAGAATCACACTGATCACCACGCCGCCCTAGTGGCAGAAATAAGTATTGGTATTGTGTAACATTTTTAGGGGACACAATTTATGACAAATTGCCTATAGCGTTCGTTCTCCTGTGTTTCTACCTTCGTCTGTCAAATGTAGCCATAGGGTTAATAAACAAACAAATCAAAAGGAATATTTAATAGATAAAATAAAACACATAATTTTGTTCGTATAATTACAGTAAAAGATTGCCAGACAAGGTAGACGAAAGAGAATGCCAAGAGAAAAGACAGATTGAAAACGATACTACTTGTGTTAATGTTAACATAAAGAGAAAGAAACAGGAACAGGATACATCAATAAGAAGACTCGTCAATTCGAATAATAACGTTAAAGACGAGTATTCTAGATTGAGAAAAACAATCCAATGGCTCGAAGAAGGTGCTCGTAGATTACGAGAGGATCTTGCTAATGCAAGAACAGAATTGCACGAGGAAAGAAGGGCAGCAAAGTTAGTCAAAAGAGAAATCGAAACGGCCATTAGGGAAGCAAAGGCCACAGAAGCTACCAAGTATCAACTTATCATCTCGGAATTAAAGACCAGGTAAGTTTTATAAGAGTTGAACTTGATCGATCTATTCAAATGTCATCGTGGTATTTATCGTGGTTTCTTATGGTAATAAGGTTAATACTTCGTCGCTTTTAATGTCACTTTTACAACAGTTTATATAATCTATTATTGGATTTAATTAAACACGCGTTAATTATCAAAGTTTATATCAGTTTTTTTATAATAAATATAAAAGATATTATAAATCGATAAAATTAATGAATAAATTCTAACTATGACACATATATGTATATAAATATGTGGGACGAGCGTTTCTATGCTAAACTTATTAGACATTCCTTAAAAGGATTGTTCGGTTAATCCTGGATAGCTCAATTGGTTAAAAAAGCAGTTACCTAATAGAAAACGAAAGATCCGTGGTTCGAATCCTCCCGGTCCCAAAGGGAACGTTCGGTCAAGTTTTTTTCACGAATTCCACATAAATATATAAATATATTAACTTTTATATATTAATATTTAATTATAATATATTATTATATTATTTATTAAATATAATATCATTTATAATTAATGAATTAACTATAATATATAATATTATTATTAATATTAAGTTTTTAATTATGGACATATACATATATAATATTAAAATATAATATATAATATAATTAAAATATATTAATATATTAAAAAATATAATTATTATACAATATAATTATATATAAAAATTATAATAATATATATAAATTATTATTATATATATTTATATAATAATATAAATAAAAGTTAATCCTAATTATTATACAATCTTTGATAATGATCTCTTAGGATATTATAATATTATATACATAATTAATAATATATTAATATATTATTATTATAATATAAAAATAATATTTATAATATTATTGATATTATAATTCCCAACCTACTAGAAATAAAAAAATTAAAATTTATCTTAATAATATTGTTTAAAAAATACGAATGTGTGTGAGCTTACGGAATAGAAGAGACGTTAAAATTTACGAAGTAGCGCGGGAGAGATAAAAAAGAAGGATGACGATGTTAATGGTTTGGTGGTGGGGTGTGGAAAGCAGGAAAAGTATAATACAAAGAAAAAGAAAAAGAAAAAAAGAAAAATCATGCGAGTGAGCGACGCGACACGAGCATCAAACTTCCATCCTTATTTCGGTTGTGTACTTTTTTTTCATTCCATGAGTTTCTCTCGCTCACAAACAAACACATACACATACACACATACTCATACATATACATTCTATCTCAATCTCTGTTCAGACTGTCTCGTGGCAGCTCGGCAGAATCGAATTGCACGTCGCCGTTGCCGTCGTCGTCGTCGTCGTTGCCGTCGTCGTCGTCGTCGTCGAAGGTGGACCTCGTAAAAGAAGATAATCGAAAACGTGAGATATCGGCAATGAAGAAGAGGCTCGTCGAATCTGAAAATACGATTAGAAAGCTCAAGTTGGATAGTTTGAATTTGCAACAGGGAAAAGTTGCTGCCCACCCCTGCAAACTCGATGGATCGACTTGTGCCGAGGTCCGACGCCTTCAAAATGAAATTCACGCGTTACGCGCGAATAACGATAAACTCGAGACGAAATTACGCGTAAGTCAATTTTTATTATTATTATTATTATTATGATAATTAATTATCATATTATCCTTTACAATAATATTTTTATTCATGAATTAATCGATTAACCCCTTAAGTTGCACACTCAAGATAATTCGAGCGGCATTGTATTTTATGCTGCTAGAAAAATTTTTATTAATTTTGTATTTTTTTATATTTTTTTGCTAAGACAATATTCTAAATTATGTTTTTTTTATATAAGAAACAATTCATTTTTTTTGGCCTGTTTTTATAAAAAAAAAAAACTGTGCGTTAAAGGGTTAAGGGGCACTTACAAGTGTGACCGCACTAAGAAATCATTTTGCTAGAATTGAAAGTAATAATCAATTGAATTTTGGAATTTAATTTACTGTTCTTGGTTCATTTTATAATAAAATTATTTAAATATTGATAAACAATATCGGAATATTGTTATATTTTTAACGATTAACTTAAATTTCAATAAGGGGCACCACTAGTGTGACTGCTTGCAAAAAAGGGTGGTTTTTCGGAATTTTTTTAAAATGAAACTACTGCATGAAATGTTTTAATTTTTTAAGGAAATATTCTTAGATATGTAATGAATATATGATAAAATTTTTGTATCAAAATATTGAAAATTAAGCGAGTTATTCGCAATCTTCCAAG